AAAACATCTATAGATGGGTCTGTAAACAAGCAGAAATAAGTAATGAATGGGGTAGTGACTGAAAAAATAGCTACACAAAATGGGTGCACAAAGCATAACACGTCTGTGAACTGCAACAACATAGGTTTTAGAGGAATAAGAGACATTCACAAGAAATATATGTTTGCCGAGATTTTTACAGAATCGCAACTTAAGGCCCGTTCACACTCTTGCGACTGCTTGCGACCTCCTAAACCTAGGTTCCTTAAAACTTGTTAAACCAGAAAACACACTGGCGCCATCTATTGGGAAGCAGTGTAAACTCGGCGGTCCGGCATATTTTTTTTTATTTCTCGAGCATTATCCTTTCTTTCTTGGCTCGAAAAACTTTTGACAATGTTATAAACGAGCCTTTCTATGGGTATTACGCACATTTGACCTTGAAAATCTTGCAAAACCTTCGCTCTTGTGAAATGCAGTTCCAGGGTCACCGCATAGATGGCGCCACAATGTCGGTGTGTTCCCTCATTCTAAAAACATTTAAGAAGTTGTAAGAGATCTCGTCTCTCTCAGTCGTACTCGGTCGCAAGAGTGTGAACGGGCCTTTATGAGGCTTCAACTACCCAGAAAAAAACAAAATATTTGACATCTCAAAATTCTTTATTCTTTTTTGCATGAAAAGTGCTGGGTGTTTAGAACTGCTCTTGCTCTTCTTGGCAGCATACGGCAGTAGCGTAAACCCAAAATATTCGGAAACTTCTAGGCCATCTGAAAGACGTTACTTCTATTACAAGTAATAGATTCCATGAAGCATACATAATTTTCGTGAAAACTGAAAGACCAAAAGTGCATTGATTTACAGAAACTTTAAAGGGATACTTCAACGAAATTTGAAATATTTCCGTCGTGTTCCAAAATAGGTTGATTATGATCCACAATATCCGTAAATGACAATCGCACGTTTGTATTTTGAGCCTGGTGGCTGTGTTTTTCGTTATAAACGGCCCACTCTGGCAAACGCTCGAAGAAGGCCCAGCGGAGACCACGTGACATCCAACGCAATCGTGACGTAGGTCGTCTCAAGACGAGCAAAGCTACGGCGAGGCTGTCGTCGAGAGGATGGCCTAGTCGTTCCAGCCACCGAAGCGGCTGCTTTTGTACGAATTTTGAGTGACGGGTTAATCTTCTGTAATCTTGTAGGGGGACAATAGCGACTTCTGCGACACACAAAAGGCATTCTCGGGAAGAGGGGAGTTCCTCCTGCCCCTCTTCTCTCGTCGTGGCCGGAGACGAGACAACCTCCGTCACTAGCTGTCAAGGTTCCTAGACGGGCATTACAAGCGAGGCGTTAGCGACATCCACCAGGTGCTCTTTGCTAATCGTTTAATTCGTTTTAAAATTCCTTTTCGTGACTTTTTTAACCAGATATTGGTATGTACGATGTGATGCTGCTTTTTTGAACACATATAGACCATAAAATAAGCGCCGAAATTTCGTTGTAGTATCCCTTTAAGGGCACCGAGCACCCACTGTTCGAGGCGGGGTTTAGGCCGCACGTCCGGAAGCTTCCTGGCTCGAGACGACATCCATTCCCCGAAGTGAAGAACCCAGGGGTTCAGTGGAGGTGGGAGACTTGGTAACGTAACGAACGGTTTAATTACATGGTAGCGATACAGTCGTCAAATCCGAGAGAACAACGGAGCAGCCTCGCGCTCCGCCTTATATAGGGTCCGTTTCTCCCTCACTCCCCGCCGGGGCAGCCAGTGCAATGCAGCAACCCGCCGTCAAGTGCGATGCAGCAAAGTCCGCCGTCCAGTGCGACGTAGCCAAAGTTCTCCGCAGTTAGGCCATGCATCTCTCCCTTTCCCGAGTGCACCAACCACCACGCACACACACACGTCCCGCCAACGTCACGGGCGCGTTGAGACTTGTTGCCGCAGGCCCCGTCACGCAGGCGACGGCCCCGGACTCGTCGGGACTCGTTTCGCGCAGGCCCCGACAAGCGGGCGATGGTCCCGGACTCGTCTTGACTCGTTTCCGCAGCGTTGAAACTCTGAAGAAGGTCGCCGAAGGTTCCATTCTTAACACCACCCATTCCACAATACGTGCCCCCCCCCCGCCCCCCCCCCCCTCAATTTTGTAACATTTGGAAGATACACAAAAGACACATCTTTACATATTGTTTATCTAAGAAGTGCCCATCTCCAAGTCTTACTGATTATCTCCAAATTTTGAGTGATTTTGCGGAAGGTAGTTAGATTGAGTGACGCCATTTGAATCCTGTACATGCTGATGTCAGTCAGATTAAGTGACTCCCTGTAATTCCTGTACACACTGATGTCCGAGTTTTCCTTGCTGGTCCTCTGGATTTTTCTATATTTTGCTTGACACTACTTGGTTATAAGTGCCTTGTAACTAAATTGCACAAAATATGATTAATTTTTTTTTATGGTGTCTGTGTCTCTTTAAATATCGAGGGGGTGCTACGGAGCAGTTGGGAAGGAGAAACATAAAAAAAAAGGAACTCGGGAAAAACAAACTAGGCTGGCCTTGAACATCCAGATTTTAAGCAAGGCTTTTCTTCTGGTCAGTACAGAAAAAAAAAAGCGGGAAAGTTTTAGTTGAAATGCTCATAATGAAGGCTTTAACAGTAGGGACTAGCAGCATTCTTTATGAATATCTCTGCCAAAAATTTCCCTCATCTTATGTTGTATAATCTGATGATTTGTGTTGACTTTGGAATTTCTTTACGTGAATCCTGTCTGTAAAATGGATAAGAGTGCCTAGAGGCCAGTGATCCAGGAGTTAGTGTCTTAATCTGGTGTTTCTAGGGGCCTACAAAAGATTGAAACAACATACATTTTTCGTTTTAGTCATTAGATATACATTGTTGCAGTTGAAAGATGCGTTAGGTTCCTCTACATCCATTTTGTGTACTGTGTTTTTTTAATGTGTCAGCATTAGAACGCTTGTTTTGACGAAAACCCGGCAGTGTCTTTCATTTGTCAGTGCTGGGGAGAAAGGAAAAAAAACAGAAGATGGGGACGCATGTGGCTCCCATCCGTCCGAAGCGTTGACGTCAGCACGCGTCAGCCTCTCCCTCCCCCCGACGCTGACAAACTGACAGACACCACCGGGTTTTCGTCAAAACGAGCCCTTTCGTTTTCGGCACAGCTGGCACAGAGTAGGAGGTGCCGTAGAACACCTCATAGATAACAAAGTGTAGTGCTGAATGAGATGGCATCATCGAAGAATGCCAACGCTGGGCACAGATTGAAAACGAGTGCTGTGTCAGCGCTCTGCTTCAAGTCAAGTTTGAGCCAAACGTTGTTTGAATCGTCGTGTCCACTCTGTGCCCAGCGTTGACCTTCTCTGATGACGCCATCTCATTCAGCACTACCGTTTTGTTATCTAGGAGGTGTCGCGCCGTGGCGTATTGCGGGTGTGCCCAGTTGCAGCTCTGCCGTCGCTAGTTGTTTTTCACTCTGGGTTTCTGCAGTAGCGGCGCGTGGGCTGTGATGCGTGCGTGCAGTTAAAACAATTGGTGCGTTTCCCTCCAAGAGTGATATGGTTTTTCTCTCCCCGAGTGATTTGGATGCGGTTCCTTCCACAAGTGGCATGGATGTGGTTATTTCCATGAGTGATATGGATGACCGTATCCAAGGGCGGCAACATACTCTGACAGGCAGAGTACAGAAAAGGGGGCGAAAAAAATTACAGGAAAACCCATTGGTGAATTCTTAGGGAGTCCATTAGCATGACCCTTGGGAAACGCCACACACGTCCGCCTTCGGGAAACACTAACACTGGCTCTGCAACAAGGTCAAGAAGAGGCAGTAAGAAATAGAGGAAGCATAAGGGAAAGCCAAAGAAGAAAAGTAGGGGGTCAGCGTTAGCATTTCCCAAAGGTAGTGTGTGGCATTTCCAAGGGTTATGCTAACGTATTCCCTGTAAATCCACCAATAAATCTTCCTGTAATTTTTTTTGAACATTTTTTAACATTTTAAAGAAATGGCTCTCTAGCACAGATGTTTCGGGGGTCCCTTGTGGATTGGCCGAAGTGATGGGGGACCCCATCTGCTGAGGGGCAGGGGTTGGTATTCAGCGATTGCAATTACAAAAGGGTAAATGAAGAAACTTTGCAGCCCTGAAACAGAATAGTCAACCCTACTTACTCAGTGCACATGGTTTTGTCTATTTAACTTTGTAAAACAACCAGTATCAATAAAAAAAAATTATAGTTCCGGCTTCATTGATGGTTTAAGCAGTGCTTAAAGTCTTCCGCTGGTGGCAGGTGGTCTCGGTTTTGGTCACCAGGGGGCGAATGTTAACGGGACACATTCTGACAAGCAGCTTACCTCTAAACTAATAACATGCGCATGCATCCAAACGCTCGCAGAGCGTCGAGCTGTCAGTATTTCACTCACAGCTGGATGCTGCATCAGAAACACGCTTAAATAATTCATGTTGTACCCATGGGGTTAGTTCTCAACTTCGCAGCTAGGGGTGCGACGAGTAGATCTATTCCCCAAAGGGGTCTGACCCTCCGTCGAAATCCGTGGGGGTTCTGAGATCCCCTGAGACCCACCTAACATTAAGCACTGAGTCTAAGGCTTCAGGGACTCCAAGAAGGCCTTCAAGGACATGAAAGGGTCCGCTGACCCCATTTGAGAATCACTGCCTTAAAGCATATTATTTACCAAATGTGCAGTGTAAATACCCTACCAAAATCTTACAGAATAGCTTTAAAATCAATAGTTATATAATTTTATGCACACATCGGCATATGAAATGGGGTCTTGATTAGTTGCAGTACTACTGGGCACCTTATTCTGGTCATTGCTGTGGAATATAAAGTATTGGTAGTATTAGATGAAAATGATCAGACTGCAATCATGACCTAGTTTTGATGAGATAAAAGTACTATAGTACCAACTTGTCGAGAAGAATTTGCAGGATTGTAACATTTCTTTTATCAGAACACAGGTGAAGTTGCTTGCGACGGTTCTCTATGCTTTCAGAACTAGCCAATGCGGGGAGGCCACTGTTTCCTGGAAGTGACGTGGACGACCAACTGAAGCGGATATTCAAATATCCTTCGTTGATTTGCTGTCTTCATTTTGTTTTCCCTACAGTATCTCATAGATCATGTTAGACTCAAAACGTAGGTGCCCTGGCAAGGCATACGGAGTGGGGTGCAGTGTGCATGAACGCACAATGGCCGGGTTTTTGTATTTCTACCTCGCGTCTAAAAGGCTGCCATCAGACATTCTGCTGTGCCAAAATACTATGGTCATGAGAATCAACAATTTTGGCTGTAAAAATCGGGGTCCATCACTAAACTCTATGTGCAAGGTGTATAAAAGCGTGGATGTCGCATTCGCATTATACTGTGCCACAGTGGCGTAGCCAAGAACTTTTCCTAGGAGTGGGGTAGAGGTGGCTGGGATGTCCGTGACTTGGGCTGTGGAGGGGAGTTCAAAATGCATGTGTATATTATAGGGCTGGCTGGGCTTCATGGTGTGGCTGAAACCCCAGAAGCAAGTATACACCAACTCATGTTTACTAACAAACCGGAGCACCCCTAGCGGACGCCACCGATGCCACGCATGCGCGATGGGGATGTGGGCAAGAAGCTCGACGTTGTTCATAAACGAACCATTGGAATGGGATGTTGTCGGCGTCGGTGTGAGTCCCCGCGCTTTTTTTCGTGTTGGAATTGTTGATTCTACGTCTTGCTGGCAATGTCTGACTACTTGAGCGGCCTCAGCGAAATTATTGAGGCTCGTTACACCGCAAAACTTGGCGTGAATAATGTAACATGCGGCGATTCATTTTGCGTGGACGCCGCAGAATGTACGCTAAAGCCTGATTCACGTGCTGAGGTTCTGCTCGCTATTTTCAGTCATGACGTCGGTTGGGCTGCATATGCCTGAACCATAGCTGAGATGTCGACACTAAAAATCGAAAGCAGAATCGGACTGAGTGAATGAGGCATAACGAGTCGGTGATGGCCACTGGTCACAATTATCAACATCTCCTTATATCTCCTGTTTACATTGAGCCTACTTACCCAAAGCAACCTTCAAACTTAAGCGTCTTTTGAGGTCTGCACTTCTTATCGCAATTACCGAGTCAACGTTTAATCTACCAGCCGCTGTCGTTTGAACGAGCAGACGACAAGCAGAAACGCTGGAGAAAGCAGACGACAGCTCGAACGATGAGGCGGCCGTTTGAACGTGATGACGCACTAAACATAGTCTGCAGGTGATCCGTGCAACTTGACGATTGTTCCGCGTTCATTTTGGAACAAAATAAATAAATCTTACGACCACGAATATCCGTGAATTCAATCCAAGGTGCTTTCCGCCCAAGCAATCGTCCGACGGCGTCTGTCTTTCCTTTTTAAGGGTCCCTGTTCACGTTCTCGGACGAACTGAGCAGGCAGAAAACGCATCAGAACTGACCTTCAAACCTTTCCCGACTTTTTTGGTAAAGCCCCAGTCGCGATGTTTTGACAAGAAGGCAGGTTTTTGTCCGGTTTCTTCCGAAGTAACGCAGGAATGCATGTGCCCCGTGGCGCCTTCTGCCCACAGCCCCAAACCGGAAGTGCGCCCGTCGCGCCATCATCGCACCGTGACATAACAGAGATGAGTTGGTGTATAGGAGCCAAAATCAGTGGAGCTTCTGTGGTGTGAAGTTAAGTTTTAACAAGACAAAGCATTCGCTAAGCAGTACCTTGATGCTTTATATGTCCAAAAACAAGCACAAAGTGTTTTTTTTAATTTTATTTCATGTATTGACTCTCAAACACCCCAACAGGGGCATTACATAAGGGTTAATAACTACATTCAAAGCATCATGTCGTGTGCCAAAAGTCCATTTTGTGATCCTGCTACATCAGTGCTCATATGTTGTCATTGGTGCACTAGTGGCCCAATTTTATATGCACTAGAACTATATTTTGGGTGTACCTGGGCACCCAAAGTTCTGTGGTAGATATGAATGTTACTGGATCGGCTCAGGTGACAAGCTCCCCATTAGCCACTCCTGGAAAAGCTGGCCCCCTCCATTCGCGTGGGCGTGGTGGTGCCGTCGCTGCAGCCCGCCCAGTTTGCAAGGCCGGCCAAGCTATGGGCAAGCTTAGGACGCTGGTTTTTCATTGCGAAATTTGGTGGTCGGCAACACGTCGGCGGCCCTTGCGCACTTCTTTTTAATAAATGGACTCTGCAAGTAGATTCAGCTGCAGCCGCATGATTGTAAAGATGCATGCTTACGATTTCTTCAATGTTTAGATGGTATAATGAAACGAATTGGAGCGTAGGGGCCCAGCTTTGGGTTGAGCTTCCGAGTGCGATTTTCTATTCATGTAATATTAAATCAGTATCCACAAGCGAGGGCTCGCATGCGCTGTCAGCGCCGTATCTAGTTCTCGATAAACACTCCCACATATTTGCCACAGGAAAACTAACAAATTAAGTTTTCTACCTTTTATTTGTTGCCTCAACAAATCTTTGGCAAGGCTAATATTGTAGATGGATACTGTGCATCATTTATTTCTTTTTCCATGAAAAAATACGGACCAGAGTGCAAAACACCAAGGCTGAAAATACCTGTAGTTGGCAATCACAGTAGTCAAACTTCCTTGCTTGCTACTGCGGTTGGTGTCTCTCGCAAAGAAGTGCATTCGCGTTACAACAAAGAAGCTTAGTAGTTGGGCAGTGAAGTTTTCACAGTGGTCTTTGCACCTCAGCCTTCCTATGTCTCATCCTCAGGGACTCGGTGAGGTAGCTAAAAATGTATTTATTTTGGCTTGAAATTGATCGCAGTAGCGTCATGAGATCAACAAAACAACATTATAATTAATTTATTTTAAGCACAACTGCAACATTAAGAAAAGAGTAGTTAAATGAAGTGAATTTAAATTAATGCGCTCATATAAACACGTCATGCATGTTGCTGTATCAGGCACTGGAGCATGCCTATATGCTTACACAAATGAACTCCTTTCACATACACAGCGAGACTGTCTCTATTCGTACTGTTGCCACAGAGCTGTAGCAGGTACTGTAAAATAACAACTCTAATATCTACTGCACCTTCACCTATAAATTTCCAAAGTAGAGACCAACACGCGGCCCTGACGTCACGCAGCTGCGGTGGCGCTGTCGACGGCACTGCGCACGCGCAGACGCTTAACTTCTCGCGAATTCGGCTTCTGCGCAGGCGCAGTGCCCACACCTGGTGTGGGCAAACGCGGGGTTGTTTGTAAACAGCGTGTTGGTCTATACACACACAAATCTGCACTGATCAGCTGATGAGAAATGATGTCTTGAAATTCTTAACCCTTTGTCACGTCTCTGAAATGGCATGCACACGCAAGGGACCGAGGTTGTCACATACATAATGCACTAGAGGAATAACTTGGCTATTTTCACCGCCTCAGATGTTCTAGCAGTAGGCCTCGACATAGAAAAACAGCCCGCTTCCTTCAAATGACGAAGGTGTCCTCAAATTGGCATTCTTTCCTGATGCAGCTGTGGAATGTTTGCAGCCGTTTATGCTTGAACTTCCTGACACAAACACAGAACACCAGAAGAGAGAAGTACACGGTATTTCAGTTCGCAAACGACCAAAACACAACGATCCATGTGCTGGAAACCACGATAGGAACAGCCATTTCTCCGAGTTGCTTGCCTGAGTGCCGAATGTCGACGACTGCCAAAACTATGAAGGCCCAGCGGGCGTGAATGCACCTCAAAAGTCTCAGGAAATGTTGTCTCAATCCGGACATTATCACACTGGCGGCAGTTGTTGGTAATACATTTTGTAAACCTACACAAAAACAATCTGTTTCGCGGCACATCCAAGGGTATCGAGGCCAGTCAGACTGAGCAGGTCGGGCGGGTTGCAACATGAGCGGCTGACAGTCATTTCTCCGAGTTGCTTGCCTGAGTGCCGAATGTCGGCGACTGCCAAAACTATGAAAGCCCAGCGGGCGTGAATTCACCTCAAAAGTCTCAGGAAATGTTGTCTCAATCTGGACATTATCACACTGGCGGCAGTTGTTAGTAATACACCTTGTAAACCTACACAAAAACAATCTGTTTCGCGGCACATCCAAGGGTATCGAGGCCAGTCAGACTGAGCAGGTCGGGCGGGTTGCAACACGAGCGGCTGACAGTGAGTGGCAGCACGTCACTTTTTCTCCGAGCTCAACAACTTAGCCAATCGAGTGACGTTGGCAGATGTCCCCTGTACATGCTCTCTGTGCATCATTCAGATTACTGATGTAGCTATGTGCGTCTGGTTGAACCTTGTTGGGAGCGTCATCTCGTGTAGCGCAAGTTGTCCTTGAACGTCTTGCTCACGCTTCTCGGGACGCCAACGGAAGACACGTGGTCCGGCATGACGCAGCTGCCCGACTACAAGGTTTGAGATTGCTTGACTTGTGCTCACCATGTGACAAGGTTGATGTCCAGAAGGGAAAATCGGATAAGTGCTGTACTACTCCCTTTCACTTTACGATGGACCGCAGCAGATGCTACGAGCCATCTCGACCAATCTGGTGCTGTGAGCACATCATGCAGTTAAATGTTTTATGTCTGTGCCCCCCTCGTAGGTCACGTGGTGCTCACATGGCATTGGAATGTCTTCGGCGGCTCGTAGCATCTTCTGTGATTCATCGTAGGGTAAAACAGTGTAAAGAGTCTTGAAACTCTAGATAGCAGCTCAGGTTTGTGTGATGCAATCTCTTATCATATCGGCTGTTTTGCCCTATTTGCATCTTGAAGGTGCCTCGCAAGAGCGGGCTAGCTTCAGACAATGTCCACTATTTCGTTTTTTTTTTCTTTTATTAAAAACAGGTGTTTATCGAAATATTGTACTTTCCATTCACAATGATATCTGTTTTTTTTATGCTACTATGTACCAAATGGTCAAAGGTGATTTTATTGGTTGTGTTCATGGTAGAAGCCTGGGACAGGCAATGTAAAGTAATTGCTTATTTAAAGGAGCCCTGGTAACAATTTTAAATCCTGTAATTTCTATTGAAATTGCACATAGTATGAGGAAGTAAGGGCATTTTTGAGACATGTAGACGAGCACTTTCTTATGAACAAAATTGTTTCTAAAATTTATGGTGGCGAGCAAAACAAAATGCTTTCACCCCATTCTCTTCATAATTTTTCTGAGTGACTGACTTTACAACATTGACTATTTCAGCACGGTGGAGTTATCATTGTTGAGTGCCCCCCAGCGGCAAAGAACGCAAGGGGGTGCATGCTTCCTCTGTGGCTATACGTGTTGTCAAAGCACTTCTCAAAGCTACAGGCTCATTGTGCCCCAGCTATCCTTTTTTATCTCAGATTTCAGCTCTGTTGACGCAACAGTTTCCATCTCCTTATTGTTAGGGGGCGGCACTGTATATACTTCCTGGGCCCGTTTAGCTCATTTTTATTGCTGTAGGCATGAAGTAGTGCTATCTGAATTTCTGCTTGACGGTGAATGTCAAACCAAGCACCACTGTTCTGTTATCTGCCGTCACTAGTTCCGATCGGTGCTGCGTCAGGGTTTAGGTTATTTGATGGCATGCGAGCCTATTTATTCTTGCACTTTCGTTTTGTATCTTGCGACATCGTCTTGCCTAGTTAGCAGTGACCTTCACTCCCTTTACTCCCGCATGAAGCTCGCGTCATGGAGCAGACATTAGGGAGTTTTAGAATACGTATGCAATTTTAGCGCACACTAATGTTCAATTTAGCATTTGAGTTAGCACATGCCACGCAAAAAAGTTTAAAATAGCGTTTCTCCACTGCGACGCAAAAGTCCAAGCATCTCGCGCTTGCAATGCCACCATGGTGCAGTAACAATTTTTCACACAAGAAATGCTGTAACTTGGGAAAAAAACAAGTTCTTTTTTTAGTTCAGAGTAACATTTTAGATTTGTTTAAATAGGAGAATGCGACGGGAGCGGTCGACCGGTCGTGTTTGCTTGCATCGCCTCGGCAAGAGAGCACTCGTGCACTGACCTTCGCACACTGTACCTTGCCAAGAAATGTTTGCGCTTTGCAAGCATCAAGTTGCCGGTGATCATGGCCAAACCGAGTGCAATGTTGTCCCGTATTGAAAATCGCAGTCGCGAGAATGCCGCCAACGTTGTGCTCACAACACTGCCAAAGCAACCGTTGTGAGCAGCTCCCAACCATGGTCCTGGAAGCCGCCATTTTTTAACTGTGCTCGTCTTGGCTTCAACAATCCTAGAATTGTCTAGGATTGTTGATCAACAATCCTAGACAATTCTGGAACACAATAAACAAAAAGACGCAGTCATCTATCACACTAAAAACCGCAAATGGTGATTGTATAGCCAGCGATGAGTGTTTAAAGTTATTAAATAGTACTTTTGCAAATTCATTCTCTACTGATAACATGCACGATTTCCCTTCGCTAGAGAGTGCCGATTACTTGCCCATGGATCCTCTTTTTCTTGATTACGTTGGCGTCGGTCGTATCATAGATAAACTCAAACTGTCATCTTCAGCAGGAGTGGACGGCATTAATTCCAAGTTTTTACAAAACACTAAACAATACTCCTCAATTATTTTAACAAAATTATTTGAACAATCTATACAAGATGCTGTTCTCCCATCAGACTGGAAGGTAGGGAAGGTGGTACCCATTCACAAGGCTGGAGATAAACATTCCCCTCTCAATTATCGTCCGATCTCAATAACCAGCATTCCTTGCAAACTTCTTGAACATATAATTTTTTCTCACCTTGTCAACTTCTTAGAATCTAACAACTTCTTCAACAACGCCCAACACGGTTTTCGAAAAACATTTTCATGTGAGACCCAACTGCTATCTTTCACGAATGACCTACATCACATTCTGGACCGAGGATCCCAGGCGGACTGCATTTTCCTGGATTTCGCCAAAGCATTTGACAAAGTTTCTCACAATCTTCTGCTTCTAAAACTTTCCAAACTTAACATAGACAATAACATTCTCGCATGGATACAGTCTTTTTTAACTCAACGGTCTCAATTTGTCACTGTGAATAACAATAACTCCTCTTTTGTCAAAGTTGCGTCAGGGGTTCCGCAAGGGACAGTCTTGGGGCCGTTGCTATTCTTAATTTATATTAACGACCTACCCACTAGTGTCTCTTCGTCCGTGTCTCTGTTCGCTGACGACTGTGTACTTTACCGTGAGATTCTCAATCATAATGACACCTGTATACTCCAATCAGACATTAATGCTATTTACCGTTGGTCTGACTCGTGGTCTATGAAGCTTAACACTAACAAATGCAAGGTCATGCGTGTGTCTCGCCAGTCTCAGGACTCTCCTAACTATTTTCTTGATAATGCTCATCTAGAACCGGTATCTTCGTACAAATATTTAGGCGTACATATAGCTTCTAACCTTTCATGGAAAACACATATTCAGCATATTTCAGCTAACGCTAACCGCATGTTAGGTTACATCAAGCGAAATTTTTCATTAGCCCCTGTCTCACTGAAATTAACTCTTTACAAAGTCTTAATTCGTCCCAAGTTAGAATATGCAGCTTCTGTCTGGGATCCCGGACTAGTCACTCTCGTATCTACATTGGAAGCCGTTCAGAACAGATCCGCTCGTTTCATCCTCACAAACTATCACCGCACCGCAAGCGTCACCTCTATGAAAACAACTATCTCATTACCACCTTTATCCCTACGTCGTAAAATTTCTCGTCTTTCCCTATTCCATAAAATTTATCACCATAATTCTTTCCTGCGCGACAAATTAATTGCTCGGCCTGTCTATGCTTCCTCCCGTCTTGATCATCAACATAAGGTGGGCATTCCTAACTCTATCACAACCACGTTTTATTCATCTTTCGTTCCCCGCACATCCCAGGAGTGGAACCACCTTCCCCGATCGATCGCCATTATCACGGACTCTGAGCTCTTTAAAAGTACAATAACTAATTACTTTATTACTGAGTGTGTCTAAATATGTGTTATGTTATTTGCATTAACCTTCTTGTTGCTCTCCCCCTCTGTAATGCCTTCGGGCCCTGAGGGTATAATAAATGAAATGAAATGAAACCAACCTCTCATCACGAATCCTCCTTGGAGGAATGCGAAGACTCTGCATACGCACGTAATTTGCGAGAAATAGCGTATGCTAAAATAGCACCCGCAAGGCACAAAACGTGGTTAGCGTTCGGCGCATGTGCAGTGGCGATGACGTTATTTTTTGTGTATGCAAAGCTTTAGTGTGTGCTATTCTAAAACTTCCTAATATGCTATTTTCTTGGCAGTGGAGAGACTTGAAAGGGGTGCATAGTGCTTGTGGATGGAGCTTCGCCCGGCTTTCTAACCATAGTTCCTGCTGGCACCCAATATGAAACTGCTCGCCAAGATGGCTCGGAATGCAATAAAAAATGTATGCTGTAGTACACAGCTTGTTTCGAATTTTGTAGTAGCTGGGGAATTCGAGCACCATGGGGCTGCTGCTTGCTTGTTCTTTTTAACAGGTTGAACCACTTTTTAAAGTTGGAGTATAAAGTTAGTAGACAAAATACTTCATATACTAAAGTGCCATCCGTGGGTGAATAAAAAAAGTTCTTGCAGTGGCGATAAATTGCAGGTAAGAAAAGTGTACCTCCTGGTTGTAGGTGTTGAAAACTTTGCATTGTGAAACAATTATGCTTTGTTGTGCCTTTTTTCTTACGTTGCTTCCTTGTTTTGTTTTGCTGATGCAGCCTTTTCCCATGTACCACCCAACCACGAGCTTTGCCCAGGTTGTGCCCAAGCTCAGCTGCAAAGGAAGAGATCTTCTCCAGGTTTGTAGAAGCTCAACTCAAAAGCTTTTCTAGTGGAGTTAGATATGTGCACTTTTCCAAGACACGAATACGGTTAACTCTTGGTAATTCAAAATTGAAGGGAACACCAAAATGCTTAAAAAACAAGTTAACTTTGAATTAAAAACAAAAAGCTCAAACAACACATTTTTTATTAAGTATTCATGATGTAAATTTGTTAGCTTTGGCTCGTTTCGGATGCGGTCTTCATCCATCAGTGGAACTCATTATGGAAAGTGACGCGATGGTTCCTAGGCCTAACCATTTGCACGATTTCACTGTCTGAAGGCAGACCGGACAGTGTGGTATGTTTGTTGGCATCAGTGTATTCAATGAATGCAAGATCTTTGAAATCTGGGCAATTTCTCAAGCACAGTTTTGTTGCCCGTGTGCACCGCACGGCCACTCTGTTGGCCGCTTCCATAGACATGGTAAGCAGGATCGGCGTCATAGCGCATATGGAGCACGCATGCTGCCATGCTTGGCTTGGCTCACTTGGCTGTTTAACCGTGCTTGTTCACTACAAGAGTGATGAAGTGTTCATGGTTGTATTGTAAGTCTGATTGGCATAATTACAAAGCTTTGTTATTCTCCCAAAGTTACTAAGCTTCTGGAGGGCACAAAAAGGAAATTCACCCAGAGAAAAAACTTTAAATTACCACTTTTTTTTTTATAGACTCTTATGTATAATTGTTTGGACTTCACTCATGTTCCGAACAAACCTAAAATTCCAATACAGCAACTTGCGAGTTATCGAAAGTCGGCCACAACAGCAAACGAATCTGCAGACTGTCACGTGGTGTCACAATGTTTTTTTTTATTTTTTTTTTTTCAATCCAAGACTGCTCTTTGTCGCTTCTCTAAAGTTGTATGTCTAAACCCCATTTTAGTATGTTACAAAAAGTTGCATTTCATATTACCGTAAAGTTCTGAGTGTGCGCTCACACCCAAAAGTTCCACCGGCCAGCTTTCACTGCAAGATATCTGTTTCAATAAAAAGGTCAACATGTCACCCACTCCCAACGAAGATTGCATCTTGTTTAATGCTCTAGGAAACTTGGGAGAGTCCCTCCGTTAAAAACTCCAGTGACTTGATTTCAAACAAAGGAGAAGATTTTTGTCTTAACCACACCTGATTTGGATGAAGGAGATAATGGCAGAAACCTTGGCCTTTTGTTTCCTGATGTCAAATCCGCTGAGAAACACGAGATTAAAGGCCCCACGTCACAGTCCAATGGGTCTGATAAAACCCACTTATAACGATCCCACATATTACGACCTATCGGTTATAACGACCAGCTTTTAGACAATATACGAATTCAAGGCCCTACACATTAAAATTGGCCCAGATGCTTGATGCCGTGGAATATGGTGCTCAGTTCTGCAGCACTGCAGCAGTCACCTTATCAGTGATGTGATTGCTGCGCCAATTGCGCCAAACTGCGCCAAGGGGCTAACCCTGCTACATCCTGCTACATTTTGCCAAAATATGGGTAATCTGCGCCAAGCCTGCACCAAAGGACCGATTTTAGTCGCCTTTCCAAACCGAAACTAAACTGAGTACCATAATTGAGCATGCATGAGTTACGTGGCGCAAGCGGCCGCCCGACACAAAGTACCGTGCATCAATGGTCCATTCGGTCTTGCATGGTTTTTCTCGCCGTCTCTCGTTTCTCGCGCTCGTCGTCTCGTAAGTCTTGTCTCGCGTCTTTTTAAAACATTTTAAAAGATAGACGCGGGCACGTGTGAATGCTCCGACGGTAGCGTACTGGGTACCAGGCCAGCCATGCCGTCATACTGTGAAACGAAACCGCGTTTTTGCGCAGGGGGAATTAAATTGTGAGCTGAAGCACTCGCTCCTGAAAACAACGGCTGTGGGAAAACTATATTTGGTGTTTGCCTGCCAGCTACCGTGGTCGCGCAGTGTCGGGTGTTGTCGTCCCCACGTCGCTGCAGATGTGGCGCTTTCTAAACCGAAATGTAAGGACTGCCGTATGTTCATCAACATTCCTGTTTTTGTTTAAATCATACGCTACTTCAACAATTCCTCTTTACCTCCGTTTGCTGTGCCAAAGTATTGATTTCCTAGGTTTCTCTCGGTAGGCTTTTTTTCTAGAGGGACCCGGTACGTGAAAAATCTCCCGCGAAAGAAAGTTGGTGAAGAGAAGTGATCTAAAACAAAGAAGGCAATGTATGCACGCTGAACCCGCACAACGCGCTTGTTTGTCTCGAGTTCAGTCGTTGCACAAAGCGCTCCAAGAACGTTTTGACCCTGGCTCGCGATGTCATGCTTCGATGCGCTCAGGTTCTGTTTTTTGTGTGTGTTTAGCATGTACCCTGTTTGCCCGCCTTGCAAGCACGTGCCGCTGGCCTTTTTTGTTGTGTACTGGACAGTTACATTTTGTTTATAGTTTTGGGAACCAGTTGGCAAAGGAGCGGAGTGACATGGTTTCGGTCGAACAGCCATCTCCACTCGCGCGACGAAGCATGTGCAACTGCGAGCCTGCCGAAGTTTCCCTCATGTGCATGCGAACGGGATTGCATGACAGAGCCACCAGCCGAAACACTTGCAATCCATTGCTTTACGTTTGCTTACTCTTGACGAAAAGCTGGCACGTCTGGAACCAGTAAAATGGTGGCAAGCGGTTTTTCGGGATTGCTCGGCAACGCCTATAGCACTGTACACCTCTGGGATGTCTCAATGTCTCTTCGGAGACATTGAAAGTTGGCATTCATTCCGAAGGCAAAACGAGGCTTGGAGCAGCCTTGCAGAAAGTTTCGGAAAGCGAAAAGAAAAGCACCTGCTAAGACTCGTAATGCACCTTTGCCTTGTGTACAAATTCGCACTGCTCTGCAGTAGTTACGCGTTTCATCAGTCGGAGACTGCTCCCATTATATTACATAACTAGTCATCCTACTGCTGTGATATTTACTACTAAGCTAATCATTTTCAAATAAATTTTTATATGTGCAGTTTTGTTCTTATTTATCTAAAGCGGGTACACCCGTGAGTGATATGAAGGTGAACAGCCCTCTTCTTGTTTTTGACGCTCCTGCAAGTTTTGGAACAAGCTCTGTTCCAGAAGAGGGCTAGAACGCAAAGTTTAGACCCCCAAGCCATGCACCATTTGAGACGTTAAGAGTTAATATAGCTTTAGGGAGCCATAAAACAGGCAAAAAACCAGGTAAAGTGTTAACCTTCATATTGCCGGCGGGTGTACATATATATGTATCATTTAACTGAAGCATTGCAAAATGTGTCATGTCATTGGCATTTCAGTTACATGTTGAAAGACTCCCAGGTGGTCTAGCTTGACCATAGTTCGTTTATTGCGGTGAGCAAAGTGCCCTTCGTTTGTCTACCACTTAAAACAAATATTTTTATTTTTATAAGAATATCTGCTCTAAAAGCCACTTTTGGTGCTCCGAAACACTGTTTTGGTTGCTCCAAAGGCCACTTTTGCTGCTCCAAAACACTGTTCTGGCTGCTCCAAAGGCCAATTTTGCTGCTCCAAAACACTGTTTTGGCTGCTCCGAAAGGTGCTCCAAAACGGCTTAGGCCAATCACATCACTGCCTTATCTTCTGCGCTAGAAGTCGCTGGAGTGAAGAACTTCGTGAGCTCAGCCAATTGTTTCGAGGCGAGGCTGTTCTGCTTATGTTTCTGCATTGACGCATGATGCTTGACAGCGCTGACGCCATCAAATTTCACCGTAAACGTGCTTGCGCATTAGGTATATCTTGCAGCTGTGGCATTGTCGTCCACGGGCAGAAGCCAATTCTTGTGCTCAAGTTGAGATCTCCAGTCTTTTTGGAACACGCACCTACGTAATTTCCCGTTTCGAAGGCGGAGAATTCGTGCCTATGATGCAAGCAAAGAAAACGCGTAATCACCGATTCAGATTTTTACTCTCCCAATGATCAGTATACTTGAAGGGACCTTGCTTCCACTATTTATGGGCACAACATAAAAAGTGGTTGACAAATAGCATGGAAGTTTTGGTGATTGACGTCGGGAACGCCTCTGTACAAACCAATCGCATCGCTGCGCACGGTACTGCCCTTCAAGACCCAATCTCCAATAGGACAGGCACATAGCCAGGGGGGAAGCCCATGGTGCCCGAGCCCCCCCCCCCCCCCTCCCCGAAATCTTCCATTTTGGTGGGGCCTCCTCTCCCCCCTCCCCCTCAAACAGCATTTTGCCATGGGCGGGCCCCCCTCGAAACAAAATCCTGGCTACGTGCCTGCAATAGGATATAGCAGAAAACGGATACCTTTGCCCTCGGTTTTGCCTCAAACCTCATCTGTGTTTAATGTTTCCCTTTGGAAAAAAGAAAGACACGTCTCTCGGCACGTAATTAATTTATGACAGCCATTTGGAAACAGAAAGCAAGCCTTAACATAGCAGCACGTACCGGTGCTCTGAAAGAGTGCCGAAAAAAGGACAGTGTCGGCGTCTTCCTTTGATCCTCTGCGATGGTTCCACTGGCAGTGCACGGTAGCACAGACAATGAGTCGGCACTCAGCGTGCGGTTCCTATTGCGCACATTCTCTGTCACTTTGGAACGCACGGAGGCCACCAAGTAACCCCAGCTGCGAGAGCCGCGCATCCCTTTCTAGACATCGTCGGTGCGTGTCTGGCTTGGCACTCAAGCAATTAACTTTGAATATCCCCTTATGCTCTCGCAGAGCTTTGCGAAGGGGAACGAATAGCGAGAACAAAAGAAAAACAACTATGGAGGTCTGAAGGGAAGGGAAGGTTAGTTTTGGGACACAGGCAGCCAACAAAGTGACAACAGCGGCAAGAGACACTCAGCTCTTCCTAGACATCTATGAAGATAAAACCGAATGTGGTACTCTCGGCGCACACCTCACTCCACGGTGCGAGTTGAGGGGCAGCCGAACCTTCCATTTGTTAAATTTTTTTAAATAAGAAAAAATCTAGCACATGCAAGGAAAAATGGTTGTCTGCTCTTCATTTCGTAGGTGACATAGACCATTGACCGCAATTATTTGGCCAAAGTCTGAAAGTTGTTGCACCGCCTCTTTAAGAGAAGAAATAGGGCTATTGGTGGCTCAAGCTCAAGGTTTGTAAATTTGAGAAGAGTCTTATTTAGTGTTTTCACAGAAATGCAGACTGCAGAAGTGGCGACTTCTCTATTTCTCTGTCATTAAAGTGGTGACTGTCCTTTCTTTCAGAAACTTCTAGTCTGCAATCCGGCCATCCGAGTGTCTGCGGACGAAGCCATGCAGCATCCATACTTCAGTGACCTCCCAACGTCCATTAGAAATGGGTGATTCTGTTTTCGGAGGTTTCTAGTCACCTTTACTGTTAAACTTCAATTCAGTGTTTTAAAATGTTTACTTTCATTCTATCTTTTTTTTTTTTATTTGAGAGGCTCTACAGTTTGCTTTAACAATGCTTTTCTTGTACACATAAAAAAAAAAGATGATGATTTATAGTTACTTTTTTTCTGAATGGAAAAAAGGGTTTATATTTTAGGGAATTGAGAACATTTTCTGGAAAATGACCAAGATATTTTTTTTTCTGTTGCTTCTATGTTTGTGACACTCGGGAACTCCTAGATGTTATACAAGTATTTTGATAGACCAAATAGTTCATGGAAAAATAAAAGTTTTTGTAACACTTTCTAAAATTTTGAGGGGTTTTAGTCAGGGCTATTGAAATCAAGGATGGCTGAGCTGAGAGATAAATGTGCTCTTACAATTCGTTGAACTTCTGTACCACGTAGGGGACCGGACAAAGGCGTGCATGCCATTTTGAGGTCTTCTCTAAATAATAGCCAAATGTAGGTGCCCTGGAACTGCAAAATATTTAAAAATAGCTTTGTTTATTCTCGCTTATAATAAAAGATTCACTTCAGAATTTTCATGCCTTCTCTCTTTTATGCATGCCCCTTTCTGAGGGTGTATGTGAGAAGTACAAATTTTAGTCAACAAGGTAGATTCCTCTTTGTATTCTTTTCTCGGACGTCCTTTAGTAAAGATGCCAAAGGGTTGCTTTCTTTTTTTTTTTTTAATAGCGCTGGGCTAGCATGCAAATCATGTCTATCTATGTTAGAGTCCCTCCTGAAATTAAGCTTCGTTTTGAAATAATAAAGTTCTGCAGCAGTGTTTCCGAGATTCTTTATTTTTAATGAAGTTTGCATACCTTAAAGTTCCGAAGGAACGCCCACCCAAAATGAAGAAGTAAATAGTGAAAAACATGGGGTGGCCTATTTTTGGGAATGCCACTGCAAAACTTTATCAAAAACTAATGATAAGTATTGGGGCACCCGCTACAGACTATGTGGCGCGGGAACTTATACCCCAAATCGCGGACAACGCAAATTCGCGTTTCACAATGCAACACACGAGAAAGGATACCGCAGGTTGCGGACGCAGCAGATTCGAGTTTTATCGTGCGAAAGACCCACGACAACCCGCCGAAAAGTCTCATCTGAAGGGAACGAATACCGCAAACTCAAGTTGAGTCAACTTTAGTCTGCTCGAGTCTCAAGTTTTATGGTACAATACGCATGCTGGAATTTGCTACAAACTTGCCTGTCACAGGAACCGATATCATGCTCGCAGATCGTGGTAAAAAAAAGTGTGAATCTGCTTCAAACTTGAATTTATTTATTTATTTAGTCTTATTTTCAGTGACCTACCAACAGCTTAACGCCTCCTTAGTGGTGCACTTATCAATGAGTCAATTAGTAAAATGCTAAACAGGATAAAAGCGAAACGTTAGGATAAAATCTTTTAAGCGTGTCATGGGTGCAGCATGGTAAAAATCGGTAGGGTAAAACAAAGTATAAAGTCTACAAGACTTACGAGGAACGTGCATGTAGATGTGACTGAGTAACTCTGGGGAATCAATTATACCATTTACAATCTTATCCAAATATGTCAGTTCACGAATTGTTCTCCTGTTGTGCAACGAGTCTAACTTCGTGAGTTCACAAATCCTCTCATAACTATAGAAATATTTTGGTTGAAAATAACGATCAAACAAAACGCAAACAAATCTATGTTGAACACACTCAATTACACCTGAATTTGTCACTCCATTACGGTTGCAGATGACTGAGACATATTCAACACGGCTATGCACCAGTGAAGGAAACAAACGTAAAAAACAAAGTGGTTTAGAAAACCGCATGTCACGGGTGTATGGCTGCCAGCACTCTAAAGGAGTCACGCAATGATTGAAATTAACTGCAGGATCCATAAAAATGCCTAGATCACGGATGACCTCAATGCGAGTAATATTGGTGGAATCTAATACAGGGGAAAACTCAGAATTTCAAGCTTCCTAGAAAAAAACATAACTTTCGTCTTTGACTCATTTAAGAGTAGGTCATTTGAAAAACACCACACCAAAATAGAAGCTAGACCGTAACTAAAGAGTTTACTCAACAGCAGTCAATGATTAACTTTGCCAAAAGCTTTGCTCATATCAAGGTAGACTACATCCGCTTGTCCTCCGCTATGGACAGATTGTACAATTTGATGTAGGAAGGAATACAGGTTTATTTCTGAGGAGCGGCCTTCCATGAAACCATGCTGCTCAGGAATAATCTTGCGACAAAAATATGCATAAAGGCGAGTGTGCCAAACAATTTCATAAACTTTAGACAAGCTACAAAGGAGGGAGACTGGCCTATATTTGTTAACCATGGTTCAATCACCCGATTTATGTAATGGAACAACAACAGAGCGCTTCCAAGCGGTAGGAAATGTTTCAGATGCAAGTGATAAGTTAAAGATATGAACCAAAACTGGACAAAGGAGTGGAGCACAACCTTTTACTATGAAGCTGGGAATTCCACCTACTCCTCTAGATAACTTTGGTTTCAATTTTTAATTGCCTCCAAGACTTCAGATTCATTAATTGAACCAACAGCCAAAAACTCCAGACAGCTTATATTCGAGCTAGGCATTAGGCCCTTATTTGTACTGAAAGAAGCACTAAAGTGGCGTGCAAAAATATTAGCTACATTAACAGGGTCAGAGGCGCAATCCTCATTATCTCGCAATGATCACATTGCGAGATGATCGTAGTGACATCCTCTTTGATGCTCTCTTTGACAAACTTCCGCATACACTGTGGCTGTGCGTTCAATGATTTCTTGGCGATGTCAGCACGCTGTTGTTTATCTTGCTTAAACAGTTGTTTCGCCTGTGCACGCATTGACTAAATCTCGTACCAAACGACATTGCCAGTTCTTTTGTGCAGGCGATGATAGTGTAGCTTGCGCCTTAAGCAATGTCTTAGTTCTTTCAAGAACCATATGGGATAGTCACTATTATGAGACACCCTCTTTGGTATGAAGAGTTGCATGCTTTCCTGGACAATAGCCGAAAGTGTGGAAGTTGATTCAACACACTGATCAGTTAGAACACTACTCCAGTCATAGTCCCGAAGATACTGATACAAGGAATAGTAATCACCGTTGGAGTAGGAAAACCATGATTGTGAATGGAAAATGTGCTCTGCAAGTGGGAAGAAAAATGATACAATAAAAGGTTGATGATAGTTATCCACTCGAAATAGCGAAGCTTAGGCAAGACTGATATCAACAACCGAGGTGACCAGGGCAAGGCCAAGTATGTTGCCACAGCAGTTGCGTACAATATTACGTTGTTCAAAACCATTGAAATGAACGAAGTAACAAAGTAGCTTCAACCTTGTGTTCGCATGACTAAGAAGCTGCCAGACTCCCTGTCGTAACCAGGAAGGTTGAAATCGCCATACATCTGCACTCGAAATTTAGAGGTCAATTCTTCCAGGAAGCTGATACGCTCACAGAAAATGATGTGATCAGACATCGGCGGAAAATAGTAATTGCCAATAAGAAAATTTCTACAATCGGTAGACATTACTTCGATCCACACGCTCTCAGGATAACACCCAAGATCGCTCCTCCGATGAACTTTCAAGCACCTCCCCCAAGCTCTTTCCCATTTTCTCATAGTCACGATCACATCTACAGTATATACGTTATACTTGGGTGGAAAATAGTTAGAATTAGAAATTCCATCTGCAAGCCAAGTTTCTGTTAGGCATATGATTGAATACTCGGCGTCTTTAGGCCTCAAACCACGTACATTCTGATAATAAGCGGTACACTCATCATGCATCTTCTTCGTTTCTCCTCAACAACCGAAAAAACTGCCTAAAGAGACAGCCAATGGGCCACACATTCGTGTCATTCACCTTGTCAAAATCGTCCCACTCTACAGCGATGGGGAACGATGCATAGCTCATATGTCTAGACGGAAGTTGGGTGCAGACACATGTTTTGACTACGTTGCTGAGTATTGCTGCGATGTCGTCAACAGTAGCTGTAGGGTCAAGCCGAGACACAAAGAGCGCCCTACTCCTCGGAGGGCGAGGTACAGCCGTCAGCTGACTTGCAGAGTTCGTGTCCGTGGCGGGCTTCACTCTCCTTTTCTTTTGTACAAGGGTGTATCCGTCTTCGTCACGGGAACGAATAACGCAGATCGCGGACGCAGCAGAGTCGTATTTCACGTAGCAATATACACGCGGGAACAACTCGCGTGTCACGGGAACCGATATCGCGCGCGCGGATCGCGGACAAAAACGCGGGAACCCGCTACGAACTCGCTTACCAGATGTACCGGCAGATAGCGCGGCAGATGCTATTCCCGTCGGACATCGCGTGACGTCCGACGGGAATCGGGCGGTGGGCGATGTTTCGAAATTTTTATGTTAGATATTGCCGCGCGCAGGGCTGAGAAAGCAACGCTCGATCACGAACCTCTAGAAAGTTCTCGTTTCTTCTTGTTCCAGACGTAACTTCTATCATTTATCCCTGCTTTTGTTGTTCCAGAAAGTGCGTGTTCATTCTCGCCCCCGAGCGCGCTACGCTCGAACCTTCTCCGCCGAATCTTCGAGATAGTGACTCACCTTAGATAAGAGGCCGCCCGCGACCAAGCCGAGTCAGTCTCGCCCCTGCGCTCGATCCTGCGGTTTCGCCGACATCGGCGCCCGCGACGCTCTGCTGTTTTTTTTTGTACCCCTTTTATTTTTGGCACAAGTTCGCCACATTAAACGTTTATTTCTTCCTGTATATTGTTTTTTGGTCACCACCCGTGACATTTTGGTGGAGGTGCTGGGTAACCGCATGCCAGTTCGTGCAGCGCTCCCCTCAGAGTTCCCGCAGTGCAAGGTGCAAGTCCGAACCCAGCCTCCCGAGGACCGAGTGAAGACCAGGTCGAGACCCGATCCAATCGCCGCACCCAAGGTCTACCCCCGGAACACGGACTTCTGCCATCCCGGACCAGGCAGCCAACGAAACCGACGATGGACAACCAGTCGTCGCAGAACCCGTCCGCCGCCGCCGTCGTATATACCTTCCCGTCGCACCCCGGACTCCGACGCCATTCCACGGGGAGGTCCAGGAGGCCGTTTAAGATTGGCTGCAACATTACGAACGAGTTGCTCGCCATAACGCATGGACTCCGGAGCAGTACCTCCAGAACGTCTACTTCGCTCTGGAAGGGACGGCACGCACCTGGTTCGAGAACCACGAAGCGTCGATTTCGTTCTGGCAAGACTTCCAGGCGGAGCTTCGACGCACTTTTGCAAGCCAGCAGCGACACCAGTGGGCCGAAGAACTTCTTCAAGCGAGAAGCCAAGGGCCAAACGAGAGCGTCACAAGTTTCGTCGAGGACGTTCTCCACCTCATGAACCGCGCAGACCCAAACGCTCCTGAAGAGAAGAAGCTGCGGTTCCTGATGCGAGGAGTGAAAGAGACCATCTTCGGAGGCCTTGTGCGGAACCCGCCTATCACCGTCCGAGACTTCCCGAGGCAACTAGCATCGAACGTGCTCTTCAAGCACGCGCCTCCCACTATC